AAAAAAAAAAAAAAAAAAAAAAAAAAAATACACAGGTTAGTAAACAAAGAAGAAAAGTAATCAAGCTGTTCAATATATATATGAACAACATTAAATTCTCACCAGGCCTTGTCATAGATCAGGCCGTGTTCCACCATCACGTGTATTAGCTGATATGACATGCATGGAGCTTTATGAGATTGGCACTGTGTCGATCTCCATTTTAGACATGAGAAAATTGAGCACAGAGAGGTCAGAACACTTGCTCAGGGGCACAAAGCTGGTGGTGGCTGCACCCGCATTTTGCTGGGTAGCCAAGGAGGCTTTCTCGGGGAGATGCATCCTTGAGGCAGCTGCAGCCAGGAGCAGATTGGGTCACCTTGTCCCTTCTCCCCATCAGCTCCCAGAGGGGAGTGGGGTCCCTGGAGGCAGAGGGCAGAGCCTCTTCTGGGCTGGTGGAACCAAAACCTCCTGCCTCATGTTGGCTTCCCAACCATGGGGGCCTCTAAGTGGTTTCATTCCTTCCAGGGCCTTCTCCAAACCTCTTCCACCTGTCACACTGTGTTTGTGTGACACTGAGCATCGCAGAGGGTACTGTCATCCGATTGTGTTTGTCACCAAGAGGGAACCCAGTGACAGGCTGGAGGCTTGTATCCCAAGGCCAGGCACCTGTAGGGCACCTTCTATGGGTGGGGGGATTGCAGCAGGAGGGCACCATCCTTTCCCCAAAGCCAGGAAGCCTCTCTCTATTGCCCAAGTTCAAGCTGGTCTTGAACTCCTGGGCTCAAGAGATCCTCTCATCTCAGCCTCCTGAGTTGGTGGGACCAGAGGTGTGCGCCACCTTGCCCCACTGCTATTTATGTTTCACGGGCTTTGCAGATGAACGCTACAGTCACTCTGGTGGCTCTTTTTAGAATGATGTCCTGAGGGCTTTGCTCAGGTGCAGCAGCTCACAAAAATGACCCACAGCTGCCACCCTGTCCATCGAGCACGTCTGGGCTGGGATCAGGACTGTCGCATCGCCTGCCTTGGGCCCAAGCTCACTGTCTCTTCCTCCCTCCTGGCCAGGACCAATTCTGACTCCGCCCTGCACCAGAGCACAATGACACCCACGCAGCCCGAATCCTTTACCAGTGGGTCCCAGGACGTGCACCAGAAAAGAGGTATGGGCAGGGGACTCGGGTGTCTTTGCTGGGGTCAGGAAAGTCCAGCAGGTGGCCCCAATTCTCCAGGAGGTCACAAGCTTGTGGGCAGACGGCCCTTCAAAGGAATACTCAGACTATGCTGAGGGGTCAGGGAAGGGGCTTGGAAGCTTTCAGAGGTGGTGCCACTTGAGTTGGGTTTTGAAGAGTGCGTAGGAGTTTCCCAGACAGAGAAAACAACCCTGCAGGCGCACGTTGGCTTCCGTTCCTGGATTGAGGGCGTGGCCGTGAAGTCTGGGTGCTGCATAGATGCTTGTTTCACATGTAGCCGCAGCAAGCCCACGCCAAAGGGGCATTTGTCAGCTCACGACAGAGCAGGCCGGGATTAGACCTTCAGCTGCAGGTCCGGCTCCTTCCAGGGCTCCCCACTGGACTGTTTCCGGGCTCTGCTGCTAAGAACTCCCGTGCCCCCAAACCCTGGGCACATCCTAGCTATCGAGAGTGAGAAAGAGGCCATCTCTTCCCGACTCTTGGCCAGAGTGCCGCCTCCAGCCAAGCCATGCACACCCCTGTGGTGGGGGCAGATCTGTACCCACGTCCTGGGCTCCAATTCGAAGCCGGGCGTGGAGGCGGCACCCTGGGCACCTTCAAGGAGGGCATATGCTGTCTTAAAAATTGGGCCGGTGCCATCAGAGAAGGGAGCTTGGAGGCTATGAGGCCAGCCCCAGGAAACCTGGCGCAGCCCAAGACGCTGAAGCCCAGTAGCTGCACGAGCTTTGGGCCCACACACAATCACTTGTGTCGCCTCGATTCACTGAGTGGGTGGGTAAACACGCAAGGGAGATTCTGCTCATAGAAGGGGAAAGGGAGGGCTGTTGGCCAGAACCTCACTCCGGGTTCTGGCTGAGCATGCAGCAGAGGTAGGAGGGAGAAGAGAATGCCTCCATAATGAAAACGAGGCTTCTGGAACACCTAGTGGTGCTGAGGACGGCACAGTACCTGGATCTTCCCTGCCATTCCTAATGAGCAGGCTGTTCTGAGGCTTCTGCCTTTCCTACCAGGTCCCTACAAACAGAGGACATCTGGGCGGTGGGCACGAGGGTGTTGCCATCCCCTGGGACACTGTAACCGGGGAAGGGAGCTGTGACCTGGGACCCCTGCTGGCCTTGGAGTGGGAGCTTAGCAGAGACAATCATCTATCCCCACTCTCCTAGCAGGGCCCAAGGTGGTGACAGGGCCGGATTTGGCCTGGCCGCCTCCCTGCAGCCTGGCTTTCAACAAGGAGGGTTGGTCTATCTGGCTATGCTCATGGCTCTCCCAGTGATAAGTTTTAAAAAAAAAAAACCACAAAACATGCAACAGGTGTAAAGAAACTGGGGAAATGGCAGGGTGTGGTGGCTCACGCCTGTCATCCCAGCACTTTGGGAGGCTGAGAAAGGCAGATCACTTGAGCTCAGGAGTTTGAGACCAGCCTGGGCAACATGGTAAGACTCCGCCTCTACCAAAAATACAAAAAAATTCACTGATTACATGTGCCTGTGTTCTAGCTACTCAGGAGGCTGAGACAGGAGCAGGGATTGTTTGAGCCTGGGAAGTGGAGGTTGCAGTGAGCTGAGATCGAGCCACTGCACTCCAGCCTGGGCAACAGAGTGAAACCCTGTCTCAAAAGAAAAACGAAAATGGGGACATGTTTATTCTCACCTCAGCTGAAAGTTTCAAGGAAAGGCACCTTCAGGCCCGGCTGGTTCTAGAGCCTCGACTGATGCCCCTCCATCCCGTCCCTCAGACCCTCCCTGTCCTCCTCATGCCCTGGGGCTGGCTGACATTGTGGCTGACTCACGGGACTGCCCCTGCCACGAGTGCACTGGTCCCACCTCCGTCAGCACTGAGTGACAGGGTCTGAAACCCTGTGCTTGGCGCCGGGGGCTCAATAAGGGTTCGGCCACTGGGTGCCAGCAGCCCAGAGCAGAAAGTGGGTTCGGTGAGTGGTAGATGTGGAACAGAACATGCAAGCTAGGGCCAGGCGCGGTGGCTCACTCCTTTAATCCCAGCACTTCGGAAGGCCGAGGCAGGTGGATCGCCTGAGGTCAGGAGTTCGAGACCAGCCTGGGCAACATGGCGAAACCTCATCTCTACTAAAAATACAAAAAACAGCTGGGTATGGTGGTACGTGCCTGTAATCCCAGCTACTAGGGGGGCTGAGGCAGGAGGATCGCTTGGACCTGGGAGGTGGAGGGTGCAGTGAGCCGAGATCATGCCACTGCACTCCAGCCTGGGCAACAGAGCGAGACTCTGTCTCAAAACAAAACAAACCAAAACAATGAGCTGGGCATGGTGGTGCATACCCGTAATCCCAGCTTCTTGGGAGGCTGAGGCAGGAGAATCTCTTGAGCTCTCTTGAACCCAGGAGGCAGGGGTTGTGGTGAGCCCAGATCATGCCACTGCACTCTAGCCTGGGTGCGAGACTGAGACTCTGTCTCAAAAAAAAAAGAAAAAGAAAATACACACAAGCTAGGCAGCTGCTCTTGGGAGAGATTCTTAGCTGTTCTCTGCAGCCTGAAGCCTCTGAGGTCCACGTTGGTTCGGCCTCCTCTGTGGGAGGCTGAATCAACACATCCTCAGGCTCCGGAGCTGCTGTTTTTATATTTATTATTTTATTTTAGAGACAGGGTGTTGCTCTGTCACACAGGCTGGAGTGCTATGGCGTGATCACAACTCACCACAGCCTCCACCTCTCAGGCTCAAGCAATCCTTCCACCTCAGCCTCCTGAGTAGCTGGGACTGCAGGCGCACACCACCACACCCGGCCAATTTTCTTATTTTTTTGTAGACACGAGGTCTTGCCACGTTGCCCAGGCCGGTCTCAAACTCCTGAGCTCAAGTGATCTGCCTGCCTCAGCCTCCCAAGGTGCCGGGATAATAGGCGTGTGCCATCGTGCCCGGCCTTATTTTTCTTTTTCTTTATTGAAACTGAGTTTCACTCTGTCGCCCAGGCTGGAGTGCAGTGGCGTGATCTCAGCTCATTGCAACCTCTGCCTCCCCGGTTCAAGCGATTCTCCTGCCTCAGCCTCCGGAGTAGCTGGGGCTATAGGTCCCCACCACCACACCTGGCTAATTTTTGCATTTTTAGTAGAGACAGGACTTCCCCATGTTGCCCAGGCTGGTCTGGAACTGCCGACCTCGAGCGATCTGCCCACCTCGGCCTCCCAAAGTGCTGGGATTACAGGCGTGAGCCACCGCGCCAGCCTATTTTTTTCTTAAGTCACAGATTCTTACTTAAAGTTGTTGTTTGTCATGAAGCGCTTTTTTGTGGTTTTAGTAGAGTCCACAGAAGTTTTGTTCAGACAGTTGCAGTCCTACCACGGCTGTGACTCCGTGTCAGGGACGTGTCCTCCTGGTGCCACCATGCGGCTGCAAAGAAATTTTTTCTCTGATTCTCCTTCTCCCCTCCCACCTCCCCAGTCTTACTGTTAACAGTCCCAGGAATGGAAGAGACCACATCAGAGGCAGACAAAAACCTTTCCAAGCAAGCGTGGGACACCAAGAAGGTAAGAGCCTATGAGCTTTGAAAACGTGTTTTTCTTCTTGCTCTCCTCTAGCATCACCCGGGCAAAGGTGACAAAATGGCACGTTGGGGTGGCTTCACCTTCCCGAGACAGGGAACCTCACTATGATTTTTCCATCTTCGAAACTGAACAGTGTGTTGATCACTAACAGCAAGCCTTATCCAACAGGCCAAAACTTCATGGAGAATTAAAACCCAGGCTGGGCTCAGTGGCTCACACCTGTAATCCCAGCACTTTGGGAGGCCAAGGCGGGCGGATCACCTGAGGTCAGGAGTTTGAGACCAGCCCAGCCAACATGGTGAAACCCCATCTCTACTAAAAATACAAAAAAGTTAGCTGGCCATGATGGCAGGGATCTATATCCCAGCTACTTTGGGAGGCTGAGGCAGGAGAATTGCTTGAACCCAGGAGCAGAGGTTGCAGTGAGCCGAGATCGTACCATTGCACTCCAGCCTGGGGCGACAAGAACAAAACTCTGTCTCAAAATATAAAAATAAAAATAAAACCAGTTGCGAGTCAAGTTGTGGCGGAAGGGACAGCAATGCAAATTGCTCCTCCCCTCTGGGACAGTGATGCACCATCCTGTGCCAAAATCCTCTCACAAGGGTTTTTGCCCCTGGCCGGCCGTGGCTCTTGCCTGTAATCCCAGCACCTGGGGAGGCCGAGGTGGGAGGATCGCTTGAGCTTAGGAGTTCGGGAGCAGCCTGGTCAACAAAATGAGACCCTGTCTCTACAAGAAATGAGTCAGGCGTGGCGGTGTGCACCTGTACTCCAAGCTACTCGGGAAGCTAAGGCGGGAGGATCACTTGAGCCCAGGAAGTCAAGGCTGCAGTGAGCTATGACTGTACCGTAGCATCCCACCCTGGGCAGCAGAGCAAGACCCCTTCTGGTGGGGGGAAAAAAAAAGTATTGCTCCATCAGTTTATTCTGCAGGAATTCAGTCGGTGGGAGTTGAGGCACGAGCCAGGAGCGATGTGTTTGAAGGTTTTTCCCAGAGCTTTTGTAATAAACTAGAAACAACCTGCATGTTCAGGAGTAGGGGATTTGTTGAGGAAATTGTCCTCAGTCCCCGAGGAGATAGGATTTTGAAGACATTGTAAACGCATGAAAGACACTCCTGATGCTATTGTCATGTGTACAGAATCGGATTGCGTATTTGAAAAGGCATGAAACACACAGATGCAGCTGTGCAGACACCGGGAGCAGAGATGGCGGGCGTTGTGCGAGGGTCGTGCGTCCTCTGTCCTGGTGCGAGTGGGTGGCACTGTCAGTCCTTTGTGTCCACCTGTGTATTTCTTTTTCTTTTTTTAGTTTCTTTTTAAATTTCGTTATATTTATTTTAATTAACTATTTGTTTATTTATTTTGAGACAGTCTTGCTCTGTCCCCCAGGCTGGAGTGCAGTGGTGTGATCTCTTCTCACTGCAACCTCCACCTCCCGGGTTCAAGCGATCCTCCTGCCTCACTCTCCCCAGTAGCTGGGATTACAGGCATGCGCCATGCCTGGCTAATTTTTGTATTTTTGGTAGAGATGGGGGTTTCACCATGTTGGCCAGGCTGGTCTCGAACTCCTGACCTCAAGTGGTCTGCCCGCCTCAGCCTCCCAGAGTGCTGGGATGACAGGCTCTTTTGCTTACTTTAGAGATAGGATCTTGCTTATGCCTAGGCCGCAGTGCAGTGGTGCCACCCTAGCTCACTGCAGCCTTGGTCTCCTGGGCTCAAACAGTCCTCTGCGTCAGCTTCCAGAGGAGCTGAGACTATAGGCACACGCCACCATACCTGACAGATTTTTGTTTTGTTTTGTTTTGAGATGGAGCTTGGGTCTTTTGCTCAGGCTGGAGGGCAGTGGCACAGTCTGGGCTCACTGCCACCTGTGCCTCCGCTGGTTCAAGCCATTCTTCTCCCTCAGCCTCCCGAATAGCTGAGATTACAGGAGCCTGCCACCACGCCTGGCTAATTTTTATATTTTTAGTAGAGACGGAGTTTCACCGTGTTGGCCAGGCTGGTCTTGAACTCCTGACCTCAGGTCATCCACCCACCTCTTCTTTCCAAAGTGCTGGGATTACAGGTGTGAGCCACTGCTCCGAGTCAATCCTTAAATCTTTTACAGAGACAGGGTCTCACTTCATTGCCCAGGCTGCTCTCAAACTCCTGGGCTCAAGCAGTCCTCTGCCTCAGCCTCCCAGAATGCTGAGATTACAAGTATGAGCCACCTCCCTGGCCTATTTTTTAATTTTTGGTAGAGACGGGGTCTCACTGTGTTGCCTAGGCTAGTCTCAAACTCCTGGGTTCTTTCTGTTTCAGTTTGGCACAAGGAGTCCCTGGGATTTCCATACTTAGGGGAAAAAAATTTTTAAAAAAGAACTCTAGGCTATGCTCGGTGGCTCACGCCTGTAATCCCAGCACTTTGGGAGGCCAAGGCATGTGGATCACCCAAGGTCAGTAGTTCAAGACCAGCCTGGCCAACATGGTGAAACCCTGTCTCCACTAAATACAAAAAATTAGCCGGGTGTGGTGCCACATGCCTGAAATCCCAGCTACCTGGGAGGTTGAGGCAGGAGAATCACTTAAACCTGGGAGGCGGAGGTTGCAGTGAGCCGAGACTGTACCACTGCACTCCAGCCTGGGCACTAAGAGTGAAAACTCAATTAGAAATAGAAAGGAAGAAAGAACTCTAAGCTGGGCACAGTGGCTCATGCCTGTAATCCCCACACACTTTGGGAGGCGAGGTGGGAGGATTGCTTCAGCCCAGGAGTTCGAGACCAGCCTGGGCAACAGGGCGAGACCCTGTCTTTAAAAAAAAAAAAGAAAAGAATTTTAAGGACAGACAAAACTAGAAAACTGACACCCGGCAGCAGAGAGGGGGGTAAGTAGGTCACGGTCCGTTTGCGCAGCTCAATGTTGGGCCGTCACTGGAGAAAGTCTCCTTACAGAGGGAGACACACCACTGAATGGAGGAGGGGGTGGTGGGTGAATTTTTAATACTGTTCAGAAATCCATTAATGTCTCCGTGATGTTCGTGGAATGCTTTTCAAAGTATTCTTGAGAACGTGATCACCGGTGTGCTTTGCAGAAATCGGTAATGAAGCGAATGTTTACTCTCAGAATGAAGGTGGCTCTGGCCAAGTAGAAACCCGTTCAGCCGGCGTTCCCCGAAGAGGCTTAACGCCCGCCGGTCGCACGCCACCCCTCAGGCGCCCCAGTGGCTGCGGGTTGGGCATTGCCCCCTCACGGTGCATGCACTTCGAGGCCAGCCCCACCCTCTGCCAGTGCCTTTGCCTTTTTCATCTGATAATCCTGAAAGAACTCAGCCGGGAGTGTCCGCCCCAGGGCCCCAGGGGCGGAAACGTGCCACACTGGTGCCCTCATCCATGGCCGGGCCTCTGTCTGGTCATGCCTGCCAAGAGCAGAAGACTGGTCCTCTTTTGTCCTTGAACAGGAGTCCCGGGGGCCCCCTACCTGGAGCCTGTCATTCCCCAGGCCTGCAGTGATCCCATGTCTCAGCGTGTCACGTCCCCGACTCACAGGGAAGGAAACGCTGGCCCTCCAGGAACGTTTTCCTGGGCACCCCCTCCCCAAGGCCAACTCGCTGGGCTGTGTCCGACTTAGAGGCTGCCCTGCCACCCCTGTGTGCTCACAGCCAGAGCCAGACTCCACCCTGCTTTCAGAAGCCATCGGAGGTACCTGGCCAGTCTTTTTGCTGGGATTCTGATTCCCTTTCCCATTGCTGTGAAAAGTCCAAACTTCAGGCCAGGGGCTGTGGCTCACGCCTATAAGCCCAGCACTTTGGGAGAACGAGGTGGATCGCTTGAGCCCAGGAGCTTGAGACCAGCCTGGGCAACATGGTGAGGCCTCATCTCTACAAAAAAATTAAAAAATTGGCCAGGCGCGGTGGCTGAAGCCTGTAATCCCAGCACTTTGGGAGGCCGAGGCGGGTGGATCACAAGGTCAAGAGATCGAGACCATCCTGGTCAACATGGTGAAACCCCGTCTCTACTAAAAATACAAAACATTAGCT